TGGACGGTTCTATTGATGCTCCTTGATTGTTTGCCACATAGATTGATCTCCTGTTTATGCCTCATGTTGCCTCAAATGACAGACTTTGTCATACTAACATTAGACCTCTCCACACTTGATGAGTAAAACCTTTAAAGACTGATTTGGCTTGGACACAAAAAACCTAGTTGGTTCTATGTGCTCTTTACTAAACTTTCATTGCTTTATTTACAGTTGACAATAATCCTCATATATTTTATACAGGGCCTTGGAGCAGCCTCACTGTGCATCGACTTCCTGAATCAAACTGTTTTATCTCTCTTCCTTCTCTTCCCTTTAAGCTTGCTTATGATTGGCTGCCCATCATGAACACACACTGGAGCAGCAGGAGGGCGGAGCTTCTGTGGTAGAGTGTGGGGTTGCAGCAGTCTGTCTTACTGGATCACGATTATTCTTTGTGGCACAGATTCAATAAGGTGCTGGAAACATTCCTCTGAGGTTTTGGTCCATGTTGATGTGATAAAATTCATGCAGCTGATGCCACGATGAGCCCAAAAGTGCTCTACTGGATTGAGATTTGGTGACTGTGGAGGACATTTGAGTACAGTAAGTTTTGTGACACGGTGTGTTATCCTGCTAGAAGCATCAGCCATTAGAAGATGGGTACACTGTGGTCATAAAAGAATGGGCTTAAGCAGCAACAATACTCAGCTAGGCTGTGGCAGTTAAGTGATGCTCAGTTGGTCCTAAGGGACCCAAAGTGTGCAAAGAAAATATCTTCCACACAACCACCATCCTGAACACAAGGCAGGATGGATCCATGCTTTCATGTGACTTACATCACAGTCTGATGCTACAATTCCAAAGGTCACAGCAGAAATCAAAGCTGCTGAATTTGGTCAGTCCCTGCAAACTGTAGCTCCAGGTGTCTGTTCTTAGCTGAGCTTAACTTCAAAGTTTGGTTGTAATAAATTGTTATTTGACTTACTGTCGTCTTCTTATCACATTGAAACAGTCATTTCCCTCTGATTTCTGCATCAACAAGGCATTTTCACCCAAAGAACTGCTCACTGGATAGTTTGTCTTTTTTTAGGCAGTTCCCTTTAAACCCTACAGACAGGCTTGTGCAGAAAAATCCCAGAAGATCAGCAGTTTCTGAAATGCTCAGACCAGCCTGTCTGGCATTGACATCCATGCCAAGTTCCAAGTTGCTTCCACATTTTGAACTTCAGCAGGCTATCTCAACCACGTCTACAGACAAAAGCAGACTAGATCTTCTTTTAGTAATTTAATTTATAGTTATAATGATGAACACAATTTTGTTTTGAGGAAATTCTATATTTTCTATTGTGGCATTGTTGTATTTTTAGAATAGTAATCCTGTGTAAGCTGGACTTCAGCAAAGCAGCACTGTTGTATCTATATATATACCGCAGTGTCACATCCATTCAAATATGCATTAACCTTCTGATATAACCAGCATCAGGACACAGAGACATCTCCCCACTTTAATCACTGACTCCTGACGCTTTCCTCTCTCCTCTCATCCTTTCATGCTCCACTGTCTGTACTCCTCAAAGTCACATGAAACACACAGACACATATGTCTGAAGCACACTAACACACACACACACACACACACACACACACACACACACACACACACACACACACACACACACACAGTCACCTGAATCTGAAGACCCTGACTCAGCATTTAACAAGTGTCACTCAAGGGCAACACACACTAACTCACACAGCTGGAGTTTGGGAGAGATTAGCGATGGTGTGTGTGTTGGTGTGTCTTACCTTTGTGGCCCGTACTGTCATGCTTCCAGGACTTGAAGCAGCTGAGTCCCATGCTGCAGCACTCCTGCGAAGCGCAAACTTCACACGGCAATGAGGAATTTTTTTTGAAGACTAGTAACTGAATGTGAGCATTTCGGAGAGTGCAGTTGCATAAAAATGAAAAAACAAACATACAAAACAAGATTCTTCTAATTTTGCTGTCGTTGCACTTACTCTTCCTCCTCCTATCAGCACCCAGTTTCATCTAGCAGGATTTCAGTCTGGTTTTGAACATCTTGGTAGCTCAAAAGGAGCTGGAAAAACCTTTATGGGGGGTATTTCTGGATGGACGTGGACCATGACATACACAATCTTGGAAATGTCCTTGGGTGAAGGTAAACTTTAGATTCTTGGTGGATAATACTGCTTAAAGAGAAGTTCTGGTAGAAATATTTTTAATATGAAATTCCAGATCCCAGCAGGAAGCTTTCTTGGGAAGTTTCAGAGAATTTCTTTCTTTCTTGTGTCTTCTTGTTTTCCTCTTCTATTACTACCCAGTTTTAGTTAGTAGAGTAGTTTTGAACTCCTTGGCACACCATAAAGAGCTCATACTTGTTCAAAAAAAAACTTCAGAAATAGACATTGTTGGTGGACAAAGACCACAAAACACATGTTGTTGTATAGACTTTGGTCTTTTTTTAGTGAAAACTCTTGCAGAGATGCATTTGATGAAGAATTGACCTCAATTTCTTGATGAATACTGTATCAAATGTACATAAAAAAGTGATCCTGATAGTGACAGAAGCTTAATACTATATGTCATTTGAATTGTTTTTTACAAAGAGCTTCCTTCTTAAATGTAAAGACAATCACACATTTCTTGAAAAGAAGTCCAAGTGGATATCAAACCTTAAATACAGGATCCAAATGATTCAGTTCCTCTTGAAGATGATTTCTTGGTGGATATTGTAACGTCAAATGCCTTAAAAGGAAGTTTAAACCAAAGCACGAGATCCAGAAGGATATTAAAATCCTGGAAACCTCAACTTGGCCTTGATTGACAAAAATTTCGACAAAGAATCTTGTAAAGCTGCTGTTCCATCTGTAAACAGACATGTGTCTGAAGGAGAGGTTTCTCGTAGATGAGGGGTGTGAGATTTTAACTTCAAATGGAATGATATCTCATGGTTACAGAGCTTCTTCGGTACAAGATTTCAGCTTTGGGATTTGCTGGACAAACACATTATGGGAGGTTCCTGGAGGGAGTCTGTTTTTCTTTAAAGTTGTCATGTTAAATTAGATTTCTAGTGGATACTACTGGACATTAAGCAAAGGGAAGTTCCAGTATACTGCACTCTTTCCCACCTCTGCAAGCAGACAGCTCATCTCTCATGCTCTTCTTAAAATAGTTTTCCCTTCTTCCTTTGAAAATCTTCATTGGGCTTGAGCACCTTGTGTTGAATTTAGGTTGTGGCTACCTAAACAAAAAACAATCACAATTTTTGGCAACATTTTTTCTGCTCTGTGAACACAAATGAAAAGATGCATAGCAAGCACAACCTTCCAAATGTTCCAAGTTGCTTGTTAATGAAGCTTCTTCAAATAGCTGTTTTCTCCCTGCAGAACTTCTGTTACATGTCAGCCATTACCCCAGCAGATTTCTCTATATCCAGAGCCCAAGACGTCCAGTCTTCATTTTTCCTTTTCCTCAGACACCCATGAACTCATCACTACCTCCAGGAGTGAAACGTCTCACTTTACTTCCTGTATCTCACGATGACTATCAACGGATCAGTATGATTTCCACCCGTCTCTCCCTTTGCATTTCTTTTTAATTGTATATTTTCTTTCAGAAG